CTCCAGATATATTATAGCTCAGTGATTGGAGCATGTGGTTAGCCTGCATAGCGGGCGCTAGGTAGGCGCTCGAAGGGCGGGCTAAATATGAATTTTTCGAAATTTTCATCCAAGTGGAAACAGTAACACCGTGACACCGAACAGCACCACGGGAGTTCTTGAATGAATATTTTTGTTGAATATGAATAAAAGTTGAATGAAAATTTTTGTTGAATATGAATAAATTTGTTGAAGTTGAATGAATATTTTTGTTGAATATGAATAAAAGTTGAATGAATATTTTTGTTGAATATGAATAAATTCGTTAAAGTTGAATGAATATTTTTGTTGAATATGAATAAATTTGTTAAAGTTGAATGAATATTTTTGTTGAATATGAATAAATTTGTTAAAGTTGAATGAATATTTTTGTTGAATTTTGAAACAAATCGCCAACCATAGCCAGACATTAACAATGATTTAAAACACAAAATAACTATAATTGATCCAAAAAATATTATATGAAATTAAATGCATTTCATTGTGATGTTAAAACAAAGTCTACCTTTATAGTGCTTAATTGAAAGATTACAACAAGATTTCTATTTCTATCTACAGCTTATACAAAAATATATGTCAACCTTGATGTTTTCCATTTACAGATATACAAAAATATATGTCAACTGACAACATGTAAATTATTTGATTTGAATTATAAGATTTTGAAGTATTCGTGACGGCTACCTTTTAAATGTATTAGGGCCGTTTTTTTTAATATAATCGAAGTACATAGATATATCTCTATATTTTGTTTTACTAGCAAAATTATTTTTGATTACGAAGTCTTTCTTGACATTTAAAAGTAGCAAATATATGGTGTTTACGGCTCACAACAGAAAAGCCATTTTTTGTCAATTTCAATGTGCCCAAATGAACCGTGGTACATGACAAATTGCAATGAAAATAAGACTAACTTGCAAAGTAGCCATCTGTTTATAACATATTAAAAAATCTCTGGCGGCAAGCAAAACCTGCACCAGTGAGAAGTCAAAATGTTGATACTATTTTTGGATGTGGGTGCACCATAATTGTACATTACACCGGTAATTACTGATGCAGTGACAATGTGACAGTTTTGTCGCATTTCAAAGATGCAGCGCAGAGTAAAGAATACAACAACAATATTACTGTTGGAGAAAGTTAAAAATAGTACATTATTGTTTTAAGTGATGAAAATGTTTTTAAATCAAATTAAAGAGGTGTTTTATCAAAGATCAATCAATTATGACACAAATGCGTCACTATATAACACTGTTATTATTTAGTAAATTCCTTGAGTATATTCTATACAATAAATAACAATTCATATATTAAATACTTTAATAAAAAACAATTAATCACAAACGACAAGCAAAGACTTATATAAATGACAGTAAAACTAGAAATTAAGCGAAATATAAGCACAAACGAGACATTAATTGTCCCTATATGCGTGCAAGGTATACAAATATATAAAAAATATAAACGGATGTGCCAGTTAAATATCGTGCACAATAATCAACCCGGTCCAGAATAATTTTGTTGATGCAAACGAAATTAACAAAAGCAGAAAAAGGGGAAAACTTAAAATTTTAAAATTTAGAAGTTGCTTTGGGCAATTTGAGTGAGCGAACGATTATAGCATACCAGACATTTTAATCTTCAACTTTGTAAACAATTACATTATGACATACTTTTGGACTTGAAGAAATATTCAGTAATATGTAACATGCAAACAAGAAGGAAACTGTAGGATGGCATCGTGTTACTATGCAACACTAGTTGGCGGTCAGTGTGGACCTAGTTCGTAGAATCCTTCTATTGTAGAATGCGTAACAATCAAGGATGTAATAAGGACATTTTAAACCATTGCTCACAATATAAAATTAGTAACGATCGTGGCCTGTCCGCAGGAAGTGAATCAATGTTACTTCTTGCTCGTGCAGGTCACGTCACCGAATTTAATGTTTATTTTTCATCCTTTGACTTTGTTGACTTACTGTTTGCAAATTTTAAAGATTGTAACTAAAACGTATCGGTATTCTTTAGGAATTTTTGAAATCGACGAGTCATACATGAAGATGACAGTGTGTCCTTTACATCGAGATTTGTATGGCATTCGCTGGAGGTGCAACAAGACCAGATGCTCAATTCGAAATGACCTTGCAGCACATAAATCTTTATCCGTCAAAGCTCAATGTGGACTTACAACTTTATTATCATCTTTTATTTTTAACAAGACCAAGATACTTATTCCTGTGGGAACAGGTACGAGGTTAATTTATTCAATACAGGGTGTCCCAAAAAAATGCTCCCTGCCATATTTGGTGGTATTATTTCGCTATATTTAATCAAAGGTTCAAATTTTTTGCAGTGGGTTGAAAAACAATCATATTATATTAATCATAGTATTTAACTCACCAAAATACTTAACCGTTCGGCTTCTAGAGATACTTAAGATGGCGCCACCAATTTTGCAACACGTCCAAATTACAGAAATTAGGTTAAAACTCGGAAAATTAGGTCGGCACTAGTCTTCCCCTTTTCTGGGGATTGCTTCATTATTTTTACAGAAAATTAATTTGCGATTTTGGCTACAATTAATTACATGTTTTAGAAAAGATATGTAGCCATTTACCATTAAAACATTTTATGACGTTCCGTAATATGTTTAAACCTAATATCCTCAATTTGGACAAGTGGCATTATTGGTGTCGCCACTTTAAGTAACTCTAGAAGGCGAATGGTTACATATTTTGGTGCGAAAAAATGCAACGATTAACGTAATATGTTCATTGATAAAAAAATGAAAAAATTTGAATATTCGATTACAGGTAACGATGTAGTACCACAAAATATGATAGGGGGCATTTTTTTGGGGACACACTGTACATCTATTTCCTGCGTATAAGGTCGGCAGGAAACGTGAGAGAAGTATGAGGATATTTTACCATGCATGCACAAGTAGTGCAGGTTTTGTTTTTAACTGAATTTCTACGTTTTTTTGTAGAATGAAGAATTTACTTACTAAACTTTTAGCAGCAATGCCTTTATTTTACAGGATATACAGTATACTGTATACGTTAACTTTTTGTTTGTTTTAGGGATATGCAGGAGTAAAGAACATTTAGCTCATCTGGCAACAGAATGGAGAACTAGTAATTTAGTGTCAACTGACGACGAATCAAGTAACTGCTTAGAATTATCAACATCTCTGCCGCAGATTAACGCAGAACAGCCGGTAATAAGAAACAATTTTAACTTTATCACGAGCCATGATCCATGCACTACATTTTAAAAGCTTCTATTCTTTATTAGGAAGACAGTAATACTGGTACGTCAGATGAACTTGTTGAAGAAATGGATAAACTTGTACTTAACGAGATCAGGTGGAGCATCTTTTCTCCAGACATTGCAAGTACTACATCATCATCTTGTGACGTCACCGATGTTTCTTCTTCATTGGTTGCTAGAAGAAAAAAGCTAAACGAATATTTGGAAGCCTGTAATATTCATCCTTTG